GACATTGTTTCGTTCTGCTGTGCATGGGGTCGCTATGAGTCAGTTCCGACTCGATGGCACCTGACAACAACAACACCCCTGTTCTGGCATGGCGCTGCAAGACTGCAAGTTCAGTGTGAACCTCAAGCTTGGTCGTTCAAGCTCACCAGCTGCTCTTCAGAAACTCTGTACAGGGTCGCTATGAGTCGGAAACGACTCGACGGCGCTTAACAACAATAACCCCTGTTCTAGAGCAATGCCAGTTAAATTATGAGTACAGCTAGCATTAATCAGATTTAGGTTTGGCATCATTTGCCAGATCTCACAGTTCACTTTTAAATCCTTTTAATCCCTCTGCCACAGCCTTTGCTATGATCTCTGTTATTATGTGCTGTTGAGTTGATTCCAACTCATAAGTGACCCTGTAATATGTTAACTACTCGTTATATGAGGGTCCTACAAATCCTGTTCAGGTTCCAGTTTTTTAGGAAGAAGAAATTACTTGCTTATGTGTCCTTTAAACTTTCCTTACTTTATTGCTTTCTATACTGTCTAGTAAGATTCCTGGTATAGTACTGTAGAATAAGCACTCAACCTCAAGGTCAGCCGTTTGAACTCAACAGCCGCTCCTTAGAAACCCTATACAAAGTTGCTAAGAGTTGAAACTGACTTGACAGCATTTAACAACAATACTGTTTAGGAGTCCTGGTGTGCTGCTGCAGCATAATGTGCAAGGTCAGTTTAAATTGCAAGGTCGACAGTTCTAATTCACCAGCTCCTCCATGGAAACCCCATCAGGGTCATTATGAGTTGGAAACGACTCAACAGCATTGAACAACAAGAGCAAGGAGCTCTGGTAGATTAGTGGATTATGAACCACAAGGTTAGCAGTTCAAATTTATAAGTCACTTACACAGGAGAAAGATGAGGCTTTCTGCTCCTGTAAAGATTTACAACTTTGGAAATGTTATATAGGGTCTCTGAGAGTCAGAACCCACTTGACAGCACACAACCACAACCAACCACCATTCTGTCTAGTAGCTAACTTCTCCCTCTGGCTCTGGAACATTGGAAAGCTTACATTCACCCTGACTAGTTTTCAACTCCTAAAATATATTTATTAGCCCATTCATTATCGATACTGGTTTTGCCTTTTGCTAAACCTCAGTGTCTTCATACATTATTAACATCTGGTACAAGACACTGTTGTGGCCATGTGCTCATGATCCATGTCAACTTTCCCAGGAACTTGTCTGCATTATATCAGTTACTTCAAAGGAACTAAAAAGACTAAAAAAACAAAGAAACTAAAAAAACTAAAATTTTTACCTTATATTTTGTGTTACTTAACTTTGTGTTTCATGTCTGAGAGTCCCTTCCAATTACCACTTTTTTGGGAAATAGTGACAACCAAAGTTTTCTGAACAGTTCTGCCCATTTTCCCAGATTTCTTTGGTGATTTTTACTCAAGTGCTTCTAGAAGGGTAATCATTTAGGATTCTGTCACTGCAGTTTTATAGTATGAAAATAACTATAATCTGGTAAAATAGCACACAGTTTGCAATAAGTAGAGAAAGACACTATTTGCTTGTATGTACCTAATTTTAAAATTTCAATCTCAACTCTGAAACTATTACTTGACCTTAACACATTTGTTTTTGGCCATGTTTGTACATATCTTTTTTTAAAACTAAGATAAATTAGCCTTTTCCTCTTGTGTTCACAAAGGAGCTTTGCTTAAAATTATTTTCTTTGGGTTTGACTAATTTTATAATTTAACCTCCTTTTGGTCAGTGAATTATGAAATTACTATATAATTATAGCCACCACACTATGGATTGCTTACAAATTATTCTTCAGATGTTTTAAAAAAGAATATGGCCTTGTCCCCATATTTTATAACCATGGCTCCTATACACACATCCATAACAAGGTTGTTTTTACTCACTCTGGGGTGAAACGTATATACTCCGATCTCATTAATGAAGTAATCATCAAAGTTTTATAAATAAGTGTAGACTTTACCTTGCAGTTCATTTTAGTTTTATGGGAAGGGAGGATACCGTGGGTTGGAGCTCACCCACCATCTGGTATATATGAACAGTTTAGATACTATTAGGTAGAACATGGTTTTCTATATCATTTAAACCTTTTGTCCTATAAGTAAAACTAGTCCTAGTTTAGCAGGGTATTTGGAATATGATTACCTGTAGGCTGTTATCTAAACTTTGTTCTTGTCACTGTTTGCATTGCTACTCTAGTACTGGCAGGATCTCAGAACATTGAGATCCAAATGAGTGAAGGGATTTAGCCACAGTCATCTTCTTTCATGGAATGTGACATTTTTTTTTTTTCAGGTTTACCTAGATTAATCAGGATGATTTAGATTGGTGGTTTCCAAGTTTTCTTTTAATAGTATAATTTTTTTTTTCCCCTTAAAAATAAATTTCACCTTGAATTTATGCCTAATTGAGAGGAGCTAACTCTGAAGTGCCATCTGATTGGCTTAATGTAATTTTTAGGAACTTTAGGGTCCCACCATTAATTTCTTCATGAATTGTAGTTTCACAAAGTGATTGGTATATTAGTCCTAGTATTTTGGTCAAAACTCCAAGTCATTACAAAAACTGTATGGGAGCCATGTCTAACTTCCTCTGGCTTCGTAAGAGGGAAAGAATCAAACTTCAAACCAGTCCAAGGCAGATTCCTGTGAAGCAAAGGTCAGACATGCCTCTATCCTACAACCTTCTTTAACTTATTTTGACCCCAACCATCCCTCCCATAGCACTCTGCTTCACATCTGATTTCAGTAATCCATTGCAGTGGCCACACACAACTCATAACCATACTCGCGATTATAGGATTTATCAGGGAAGTGAACAGGGTGCAATTCAGGATAAGAAATAACGCAAGATGCAGCAGTTTTCCAATCAGGAATGCTGCTGCTTCTGTACCGCAAGTACATGTCACTCTTGTCTTTGGCCTCTCAGCCATGTGGCCCCTTGGCTTCTGCCCTGCTCAGGCAAGTGTTAACAAAGCTCCTTTAGCCAGTTTCTAAATGCCCAAAGGACACATTCTACAAGTCAGCCTCCTACCTGTAGGCACTCAGCTTTACTTAGTGATCTTAGAAGTCCAAAGCTGCTCTCTCCATGCCGCTGCCTGTGCTACCACCTCTGCTGTCACCACTTTTCTAGGTAGGGATTATGCTCTTCTTTTTTGATGGTCCTGGAATTGTCTTTTCCTGCATCTGAGATAGATTCTTTTAAACCTAGAGAGATGGCAAAACTAAACAATCACAGCATTAAAGTCCTGTATACCCTATTTGCATGGTCCCACCCAATAATTTGGTAGAAATTAAGACTTTGGATAAAAAAGCCATATTAAGTAAATTCAAGTTACCATATATACATTGCAATAAGCGTCCAAAAAAATACAGGTACAGAGCACAATGAACTTTATAGAAATTAGTGCACTTTTTATTTGTATATCTTTGCAAAATAATTTGAAACCCCTGAGAGTTGTTACATATCTTATATCTTTTATGGCTTTATGGGTTAATGCATCAGACTGCAAAGCCATTTGAACTGCACGGTCGGTGGTTCAAGCTCACCAGCTGCTCCTCAGAAACCCTATACAGGGTTACTATGGGTCGGAACCAACTCGACAGCACTTCACAACAACAACGTGTACATTCACAGTATGTGAATTGACTCTGGATTACTGAAATATTCCAGAGGTACACAATCTGGATTGGCAGTAAGGCTCTTAACTATAGGGCTTTATACAGTCTTTTTTTCAGTGTAGAAATTAAAGAAATTTGCATAGATACACATTAACCAGCTCATATTCTATGATTGAGTTTTAGAAAGCAGTCATGAAAGGGTATTCATATGATTCTAACTGACTTTCTTTCACTTGATAGGAAAGAGCGCCTCTATTTCTGAAGATAAAGGTGATTCTGATGATGAGAGACCAAGGAAAGGGGAAAGACGATCATCTAGAGTAAGACAGGTAACTCAGATACCTATTAAAACATCCATCATTCTTTAGGTAATGTTTGAATGTCTTTTTCACAAATGTTTTAGAGTTAGTATCTTTCTAGATTTCTGTACAGTCATCTTTCTCCTCTTTTCAAATTTAGGTCTGCTCTAGCTTTCAAATCTCTAAGTGTATATATAAAGAAACTTAATTGTAAAAGCTAGCAAGCTGGTCTGTATTCCTAAAGAACATTAGAAAAACATGACATAATGAATTATTTCATTCAATTCTTAAACATGGTATGAATAGAACACAAAAATATAGTGAAATTATGATTATGTAAAAAAATAAGAAAAAGAATGAAAAGAATTACACCAAAATGGTGATAGTGGGTCAGTTTTCTCCTGTTTTTTTAGATGTTCTGTTTTTATTTATTTTAGAACCTTGAAGTTAAAAAATGAATTAACAGCAGCTTTATTATTATATTCCTTTTGGTCATTCTTTCTATACCTATTTCTCATTTATCAACGATCTCATTATCCATTATTTTACATTTGTGACAATAGTATAAAATGTGCTATCCAACTATTTTGTGTATTAACAAGACATCAGCCATGATGGGAATGTCTTGGAGCATCCCCTCCCTCAGGAATCGTCTCCTGGCATCTTCTAGGAACCTGGGCCAAACACCATCCAATGTGATCTCTGAGAACCTGCAGCTCAAAATTGCTATGGGATGGGAATGTAGGGGAAAAAAGCATGGGAGAGGGTGTTTATAAGTGGATGTGAGTTAGTAACATCCCAAATTGAACCAAACTGGGCCTGAACCCGCTGCTTTGATGGAGCTGGGTATGAGACAGCCTTGCAGAAAGCCCCTATCCCTTGGTGACTCACCAGACCCAGAGATCAGAGCAGGCTGCAGGATTGACTCTGAAAGGAAAATTCATCCAAAACAGAAGGAAGGTAAAGTGGGTAAGCCATGGGTCCTCCAGTCACAACCAAGTTTTGTCTCCTCCAAGCCACCTCCTCCACAGAGGAATGATCCATAACTGGACTCATCATATCAGTAAAACTTAGCTGTTATTATTTCTATTATCGTATTTTCTAACTGAAAAAATCCAATAAATGGATGGTCAGAAAATGGAGTGAAAAGTCTCTATTTTTGCATAACACCAATTTTTTTGTAAAGCAACCTGGTCTTTGGAACCTAACCATGTCAATAAGTGGGAATTGGGTGTATTTGGATTCCCTATGTTCATATTAATCATGATTATCTGCTTTCATACTTGTTTCTGTATTGTTAAGAGTACGTATCATTGTGTTTCTTATTCCTAGGAGTGTCTTGTGAGATTTTTTTTTTCTTCTCCTTCTCTGATTATGATCCAAATATATTTGGAGCCATTGTATATCTTTTATTTCAGGCAAGAGCAGCTAAACTTTCTGATTGCAGCCAGGCTGCTGAGGAGGAAGAAGATCAAGAAACACCATCCAGAAATCTGAGGATCAGAGCAGATCGAAATTTGAAAGCAGAGGAGGAAGAAGAGGAGGAGGAGGAAGAGGAGGACTTTTTTTTCTTGGGTGAGGAAGAAGAGGAAAATGAGGGACAAAAATCTAAAGAAGCACCCATCTTGAAACAGTCTGAGGCAGAAGAGGAGGAGGAGGAAATGTCCAAAGCAAAGCCAGAGCAAGTGGTGGATGAGAGACCTAAGCCCATAAGATCCCAGGAACAAGAAGGGTTAGAGAGAGGAGGAATAGTAACAAGGTCCCAGGAAGAGGCTCGAAGAAGTCATCTGGCCAGGTATCAGCAAGAGAACGAGATAAAAATAGCTTCTCCCCTTAAAGAGGAAGAAAAAGAAATTAAATCTTTGAAAGGCTTGGAGGAAAAATCAAAGTCCCCTTCTCCTCCTCAGTTGACTGAAGATCTGGAGAAGGTCCCTCTTGTGCTACAACCAGAGCAAACTGCCAGTGAGGAAGAGACTCTTCCACCTTTACTTACCAAGGAAGCCTCTTCACCACCACCTATTACACAACTCCAGAGTGAAGAAGAAGTAGAGCCCATGGGAGGCCCAGCCCCCCCTGTTCTTGTTCAGTTATCTCCTCCAAATACAGATACTGAGACCAAGGAGCTATTAATATCTCAGCATTCTGTTCAGTTGGTGGGAGGCCTGTCTCCTTTGTCAAGTCCTACCGACACCAAAGTAGAATCTCCTGCAGAGAAAGTACCAGAGGAGAGTGTCCTATCTCTAGTTCAGAAAAGTACACTGGCTGAATCCTCAGTAGAGAAAGGTCTTGAATCTGAGTCAGAAAAATCAGCTCAGCCACTCCCTCTAAACATTGAAGAATTAGCACCAGCCAAAGAGATCACTGAGGAATCTCAGAAACAGCCATCTTTGGAACAAGAGGGCAGAATGGCTACACATACTCTTTTCCTGAGCCACAGATTGAAACCGTCAGCTCATTCCTCACCGTCTAGCCGGTCTTCCTCATCTTCGTCCTCCAGTTCTAGATCACGATCTCGCTCTCCTGACAGCTCAGGCTCTCCATCTCATTCACCTCCAAGATCCAAGCAGAGAGATGGATCCCTGGCACATTCTCACTCCAACCCTCGTAGTAGACCCAAGATGGGCTCTAGATCAACATCAGGGTCCAGGTCCCGTTCTCGTTCTCGTTCACGTTCTCGTTCTCGTTCCGCCTCAAGCAACAGCAGAAAAGTGAGTATGGGTCAATCCTATGTGCATTGATGTTCTGTCTGTACTCCAGTATTTTTTAACCTTTAGGAAAGCCCATCGTAATTTCTGACAAGCATGGGGGAAGTCGCTTATAGACCTTATTGTTATTGTTAAGTGCCATTTAGTCAGGTCTGATTCAGAGCAACCCTATATAGTTTCTGAGGAGAAGCTGGTGGGTTTAAATTGCCGACCTTGTGGTTACCAGTCCAGTACTTATCCTACAACTCCGCACCAGGACTCCTTAGCAAATGATTAATTTTCCCATTTCAGAGTCTTGATTTTTAATTCACTGATTTCTAAATGGGGTACTTTTTCATTCTAAATCCCTTTGATTCCAGAGAAAGAATCCATGTATCAATGTCTCTACTAGATTGTAAACTTTTTGAGGGTATGAACATGTCTTTTTATAGTGCTCGTCACATCTTATTGGGACTTACTAAATATTTATTGGAAAATCTAGTAAATCAGGAGATAACTAATTCAAATAAGAATAAACATAGGATTGAAAGAGCCAGTGTATTAAATTGGGTCAGTGGAGGCTGGAAAATTCTGTGATGTGCTGAATTTATACCATGTGTATTAATGTACCTTATTATAATACTTGATTTTGTTTCTTTAGTCTCTGAGCCCTAGAGTCTCCAGGGACAGCAGTACCAGCTACACTGAAACCAAAGATCTCTCTTCTGGTCAGGAGATTGCAACTCCACCAATGCCACAACTGCAGGTCCTTGAGCCAAAGGAGAGGACTACCACCTCCTCTATCCAAGTGAGGTGCATGAGCCAGTCTGAGTCATCTGAAAAGCATGTGACCCAGAGGTTACAACCTGAGCGGGTAGGCTATTATGATTCTCCCCACTACTAAACCCAACACCCCATTCTACCCTGAGGAACATGGAAGATGAGGCATGATTTTCCATTTTGTCTTAGCTACAAAACTGAAAAGTTGGTCTGGGCTAGGTTCAGTTAGAAATACAGAAGGTTGAAGATAACTGTTAGATCCCACTTCACTCATTCCAACGCCCTGATTTACGAAAGCTCGACATGATGCTGAGCAGCAGGCTTCTCACCTCAGTGCTCTTGGGGTCAGTTCTTCCTCAGAATTCCTTTTTTTCTGTCCCAAAAGAAACCTTTTTCAGCTCTCTCAAAAAGATTTAAGTTTTCATAAAATGATTGCTGGTGTAAAAATTCTTGAAGAATCTGTCTTTAAATCATATTTTTTCCATTTCATTTTCTTAGATGAAATTATACCAGAGAGTTATATGTGGAGCTGATAAGTACTCTACTTTGTATATTCTACTCTGCCTTTTTCCAGCTCCAGGTAAAGAAAAGGAACTGTTAAGATTTAAGTACTTTGCTATTTTGTTTTTGCTACCTCCTGACAGGAGAGCCCAAAGAAGTATGAAGCTGAAGAGGCAGAGCCACCAGCTGCTACACAACCCCAAACTTCAGAGATTCAGACCTCTCAACAACCAGAATCAGAAAGAATTCAGCACACTATGTAAGTGACTATTTCCACTGGGTTATAATATGGAACTAGGCTAGGAGTGGGAGATAGTTCTTTGCTCCCTAGGGTTCTTGAGTAAGCAGTCTTAGTTTCCTTATTAAAATATTAAGGCAGATCTTTATCTGGACAAAAGTTAAACTTCTGTTACTCTGTTGGGAGCAGCTTCGAGAGTAACTGTTTAGGTAGTCTGAAAAGTGGTGTTGAGGTCATAAGGAAAACCACATCGGGGATCAAAGCATCTGACCAGAACAGCCAACTCCTTAAAGGTACAGCTTTTTGCTTTCTTAGAAAGTATAAGAATTGACTGTGCCTCAGAGCTTAATCTTTAGCTTACACTTAAACCAGTTATATCTGATCTTGGTAAAACAATTCAATAAAGTTTATAATGAAATGCACAGCAATGGGCTTTTTCCCACATTATTACCTATATTTTACTAAGCTCAGTCTGTCCTAGTTAACTCCTATAGCATATAGTACAGCAGACTACAAGGTCCATATTAAGTCAGAAGTTTATTCCTGGGTCCCTGAGATCCTTTGATTGATCTTACCAACATTTTAATTAATGTGAGTTTTTAAATCTTTATATTCAGTCATAGAGAAATACATTTTTTTTAAATCAGGGTAAATTTGTAATTGAACAGCTGTGTCATTCATTATTCTAAGCTAGATATCACAATCTAGAAGCAATTGAGCCAAAATTTCTGTTTTCAGAGTCTCCCAATGATGCTTCCCATGGGAAATGAGAAATTGAAGCATTGTGCAGATAAGATTGCTTAGCTTTTAGACGTTAGGAATCCTTAATTGTTTGGAGAATGTCCTCTGTAGACAGTTCACCAAATGTTTCCCACTTGTTCTCATGTCATTTTAATACTAATGGTACCCACTGCAGTTGAGTCAATTCCAACTCAGAGCAACCCTATAGGACAGATTGGAACTGGCCCATTGGTTTCTGGGACTGTAAACGTTCATGGGAGCAGTCAGCCTCATCTTTGCAGTTAACAGCCTAGCGCTTAACCCACTGAATTATCAAGACTCCTTTAAATACTACCATATAATTATTCCCTGTATGTAGTAGTTAGGAGTCCTGGTGTGTTTCTGTAGAATAAGCGCTCAACTTCAGTTTCAATTGCAAGGTCAGTGGTTCTAACTTACGCTGCTCCTCAGACACTATACAGGTCAGAACTGACTCTATAGCACTTAACAACAGCGTATGTAATACTTAATAATTTCTACATTTCTGAAGGCTTTAAACTGTCTTGGCCCTGATTTTTGGAGGGTTTCAGGCAGTGAAATAATTTTAATAATAGTTTTATACTTTTGACTATTAGAGCTTGTGCCCTGGGATAGACCCTCAGTACTATCCATTCTAAGGAGCTCTGGTATCGTAGTGGTTACGAGTCTGGCTGCTAACCTCAAGGTTAGAAGTTCAAAACTACGAGCCATTCCACTGGAGAAAGATGAGGTTTTCTGCTCTCCTAAAGATTTACAGCCTTGGAAACCCTATACAGGGTTGCTGTGAGTCCGAAAGGACTCCAGAGCCCACCACCACCACCACTACCACCATCCATTCTAATATTATTGCCTCTGCTGCCATCTTGTGGCCATAATATTTTTTGTTTTAAAGCCAAGAGCTCATTTATGTCCTTTGAAAATTTTTTGTTCTTTCCTTTGGGATGGGTACATTATTCTTTGGAGAGGGGTTTTTCTTCTAGGAGCATAAAGTGAAAACTCATCGGATTCTGGAAGGTGTTCAGGATTCCCCAGCTACACCATCGATGAGGAATTGGGGTGACATCTTCCTTTTCATATGCATCAACCAGAGATAATACCTATCCTCTTCTCCCTTACCCATCCCATGGATTACAGCATACCCTTTGTATAATTGCAGTTTCAAAGTAGGTGTTAACAAGTTGCTACTAATTGAACCTGAGGAACTGCCTCTTAGGCACCTTGAGAAGAAAGTAGTTTTCTGAAAAACTTTTCTCATCTCCAAAATTCTGTGAGTCTATGAGATCCTATCATTCATAAAGGCTTTTAATGCTGTTTTGAAACATCTGTATTTCTGGACTTTCCCATACAAGTCCTAAAACAAATGAAGCTTGGAGTCATACAGTCATGCGTCACTAAATGTCCATGATATAATCTCTAAAATAGGACGGTATATGATTTGGACATTTTGTGCATACTATATGCAGACAGTCCCCAAATATGAAAGTCTGATTTCTGGACAACTCATACTTATAAATGGACTGCCTTAAAGCCTTATATTGAAAAATTGAGTTTGACACATACGAATGATGAATGTACACATTACTTTGTGACATTTCTTGAAAATATTGCAAGGTTTGGAAGTGTTTTATATGCATAGAAAAGGAAAATATATTCTATATACTAAGACAAACATTTGATTTAATTATGTACCTGTTCCAACTTCCCTACAAATCTGACTTAAAGACTGACTTAGGAATGGATCTCATTCATAGAGACTACTTGTTTAGCCTTATGGGACTAATGACATCTGTGGTTGCACATTGCCTGAACGGATGCTATGCAACACCTGACTGTACAGAATTTTTCTCCTTAGGTAAAGGTGGCTTTGATCTTCATGTTATGACTGAGGTAATAGAGTCACATTGATTCTCACAAGGTGATAAGAAGTGGCACCTTGGGTAAATACTGAGCTTGTCCATTTTTATTAGGCAAGCTTCAGTGGAGCGGTGTAAAGATTGGAAATGCATTCTGAGCTTAGAAGTAGTTCATACATACTCTACTTACCTGCCTGCCAGCTTAACCAAAAGACATACCCAAAGACCTAAACTCATAGGCTGTTCTGGCATTGGATTTGGTAAGGCCAGGTTCAACAGCATTAAGTGGAAAAGACCATTTGTGGGTTAGCCTTGGTTTTCCTGCATAGTGCAGCACAGTCGCATGATTTTAAAAGCCAGCTGAGACCTATATTAATTTAGGAAAGGGTTAGAAAAAATTTACTGCTAAGGTTTCCCGCCACTTCGAAGAGATAGCGTAATTTTTGCTGTGCCTGGTTAAATCTGTTCTAATTTTGTTTGTGTCCTGAGGTAAGGGTGTGTTTTTCATTTTTTCTTTGTTTGTGAGCCCTCAGTCCTATTTGAATTGAGCCCTATTCCAAATTCTAGTCTTATGCCTGCCTAGATACAACAAAAAATGTTCTCATACAGAAGAAAACAGTGTTATTCTTGTTTGTTTTTTTTAATATAGAGGGGGTGCCAGCAATAACTGACTTAAACTAGAATTTTTCTAGCTACAACCTTCTTAGCAGGCAGTAACAAATTTAGGCTCTTGACACTATTTATCCTTTTGACTGTGTAGGAGGAAAGAAATGGTTCCTGAAGTCAATTCTTAAGTGTCAACTTATGTTACTATTGTTTAGTGCCACTGAGTCAATTCTGACTCATAGCAACCCTATATAGGATTTTGGAGGATCGGCTGGTGAGTTTTAACCGCTGACTTTGCAGTTCAAATCGACCTTACGGTCCAGTGCTGATACTACACTGCCATACCTATATTTAGGGTTTCTGAAGGAAAGCCTCATCTTTCTCCCACCAAGTGGTGGTGGGCTCAAAATACCAACCTTGTGGTTTGCAGTCCAGTGCTTATCCTACAGAGCCACCACACTCCCCCGTGAAGCCAATGTGACAATGTAATAGGTACTCCCCAGGGGACTTACAATGTCACTATCCCAGATGATACATACTGAAAAACTAGAATTTGTTGTCAACAATGGTGTTTGCTCCCTGGGAAAGAGGTACCTAAGGACAAACACCCCAAAGCATACTATTCTTGGTTATTCTGGACTTGATATGCTTCTAAGGATATTCTATAGTTAAATCTCACTGCCTGAGGATAGTCAAGTTCTACTATTTTTAATTAAACTTTTACATCAGTTCCATAGCTTCTCATGAATTTTTAGAATAACTAAAATCCAAACATATGCCCACAGAAATTTCATGTTCCCATTAACTTTTCATTCATATTCAGGTAGGAACTATAATGTGATATTATTAATCTCCAAGTAGTTCTATCCTTATCTTCTTGGCTACAAATGCTTTGTTTACTAAACTGTTCAATTATGGACAGAATTCTTCTCATGATGCTCTTCCATGTGTTTTTCAAATATATCAGGAACTTTTGTGCAAAAACTTAAATGTAGGAAAAGGAGATACCTTTTGTCTAAAAGGGACTAAAAAGCTGTGTAGGGCTTTGACACATAGGTAACAAGCCTTTGGGGCTGACCCTGCAAGTCATTGAAGATTCATTATCTTACACGTCAACTCTTGAGAATTCTTAGGTCTCACTGAATTAATTGTGGGGAAGCTAGAAGGTACAAACCTGCTGTGTCTTCAGGTTTGAGAGAACATGGAGAAATTATATTTGAGAAATGTTTCTAGTAACAAAATTCTCCTTCCAAGGAAGCTACTACTGGAGAGCTGAAAATATTTCAGGACATTGGGGAAGAGGGTATTTATTTTAGGATATTCAAAGGTAACATTCTCTGTGGAAATTCTATCCAAAAATAATTCTTAAAGGTGCGGGGACCACTTTAGTTCAGCAAGTATTTGTTAAGTGTCCACTTTGAACCCTTAATGACCCTAATTCAGAAATATTTTATTGAGTATTTCTCATGTCCAGGCCCTGGGCCATGAGCCAAGGGATGCAGTCTTTGCTTTTGAGGGGCTCTGCAGGTTGGAGGGTTGTTGCTGTTGTTGAGTGCTGTAGAGTCGATCCCGACCCATAGTGACCCTGTATAGGGTTTCCAAGGAGCACCTAGTGAGTTTGAACCACCAACCTTGCAGTTCAAAGGGGTTTGCAGTCTGGCATATTAACCCACAGTGCCACACCAGGACTAGGATGGAGGGTAGAGAGCAAGTAAATCAGTAGCTTTTATACAGAGTAATAGGTGCTGCTGGAAAACCGTCTCACCAGTCACTAAATGCCTTTGCCTTAGAGAAAGTGCAGTCTTTTCTGAGGAAACTAAAACTTCAGAGGTGGCATCAAATAAAACAATGGCTTATTAAATGTACATGTAGTGTACATTCATTTATACATGCCCTTACCTTGACTTTGGATGTTGTCCAAGCCAGAGTGTAAGAGCTAACATTAATTAAAACATACTATGTGCTAGATACTGTTCCATGAGCTACATATTATCCTCACTCTACAGATTAAGAAACAACAGGATCAGAAACTTACCCAGTATTAGACTATTTGTAATGGGGTGGGACCAGGACTGGAACCTAGCCAATCTTGACTTCAGAGCCCTCTTTTTTGTTTTTTTGTATTATACATAACTTAAAATTTACCATTTTAAACATTACAAGTCACAGTTGGTTGCTGCATTACTTCTGAGGAGACAGGGACTGCAATGTGAAAAGAAATTTTAAAAATAAAATGTAAACATGCTCACTTTAGCATGCATTTGGCATGTAGGTTTAAAATTTTAAGCAGCAGGGGAGAAATTTTAATTATGACTAAAAATTGATTTTGTAAAGGAGATGGAACTTTTTGTTATCAAAAGCTTGTCTTGGTGTTAAACATATATTTATTGTCAGTAGGATGAAAAAGGAGTGCCTTTGCAGTCAACAGATAAGCATTTTGAGCATCTATTGTGTTTCAGAGAATTTTCTTGTATGGCTAGAGTTTGTTTCCCATTTCCCATTTGGTCTGGTGACAGTACCTTAGTCCCCAATCAAGTTCTGCCAGGCAGATGCTTCCCCATTTCCCATAATACAGCTCTCTTGCTTCACTGTCTTCATGCGCCCTCACCTTGGAGTCCTTACTCCAAGAAGTGGCCTTCATGCTTCAACTGTCCCCAGGTCCCCATGCCCTGTTTATCCTTTTCCTTTCTATCTCCAGTAAACCCTGGGGCAGGGTGACCTTATTAAAGACTGTATGAAACAAAGTTGTCTGTCATCTCTTCAGAAACCCCTCTCCCTTGTTACCAGCACTTTGAAAAAGGCATTTCCTTGTTTATGCACTTCCCTCTATCTTCCCTAGCGAAAGAGGAGGTTGGAGTTGTAGCATGTGGTCATCGCCAGGGGTGAACAGCCGATCAGTATAGTGACTAGTAGTACCAGTCCCACTCTCGCCTTGAACATCTGCCTGGCTGATCTGTGTCAATACTCCATGTGTGGCTTTCTGGGTAGAAGGTGGTGGGCCTTGAAAATTGTTCATGCCCTTTTCTCTGTGCCTATTTGGGTTTGGGCTTTGTTATCTTCCTTCTAGATTAATGTATTTTTACTCCCAGCTTTGCTGCTTCCCTTCCTCTTCTCTGGAATCTTCCAAGCAAGCAGCTGTAACTTTGTATGTCCTCTCCACCCAGCCCCCTCCCCCACCCCCTGGGAAGACAGACAGAGCACCCTCTCCCAGTGGAGTTAGGCCTTGGTTAGCTGTTGTAACCTGAGAAAAGGAAAAAGGCCAGGCTTATAGAGCCAGCAGTCGGCTCCCTGAGGCCTGCCAGAGGATAAGAGCCTTGCTCACTCAGCTCCCTCCCTCTTTACTTTCCCCTCCCCTGCTGCAGCAGGGCCCTCCCCCATCCGCACACACGGGCTGCTGGGTAAGTGGCAAGATGGCTCCCCTGCATGTCTCCGGCTGATCGCTGCTGCTCCGCCAATACAATAGAGCCAGCCACTACCAGCAGCCTGGCCCTCTTCCTCCTCCTCCTCCTCCAGAGAGACCAGTCCAGCCGAACTCGGGGTTTGCCGTGAGGACTTAACGCTTATCTCTTAAAAGCCAGATCTTTTAGCCTCCCCTCACCAACACCTCCCCTTCCATTTACCATTTTTTGGATTCCCCAGTTGCTGCATCTCGATTTTCTCTCTCTGGATCGGGTGACTGGGGAGGAGGTGGTGGGATCTTGGACCAAGGAAGGTGTTTTTTGTGTTTTTTTGTTTTTTTTTAGTATTTTTTTTGTTTGGTTTTTTGTTATTTCTTCCATTCCAGAAAGGGATAAACAGCACTTCCAGGGGGAGAAAAAAAATCATGTTATCAGAAAGCAAAGAAGGGTGAGAGCTTCACATTTCCACGTATCCCTTTTCCCCATTGCTCTAGCTCACCTCATCTTCCTTCTCTTCCCCATGACTTCCATTCCGCTTTTCGTTTAGGTTTGTTTTCAGTCATTCTGCTTTCCCCCTTTGTCCTTCCTGCCCGATTTCTAATTGGTCCCACTTTCCCTCTCTGTGTGGGAAATAGGTACTTTGTGGATAAGAGCCGGTTCTGGAGACTTAGGCAGTTGAATCGTGTGTTTCTGTGGGGGCCTGTTAGCTGGGGGCACAGTTCCGATTTTCCCCTCCCCCCTCGCGTGCATCCCTCCCTGACTGCTACAGGGAGGCTATCTGACCTCTGAGTGTGTCAGCCTTACGAGTTGTTGGGAGGGAGAGCTGGATTTTGGTGGTGATGGTTATCTGCTTGGGGAGGCTTGGTTTCCCCTCCCCTGAGCTTAGGCCTCTGGTCATTTTAATTTTTCTCTCGTATTTGGGTGGAGGGAAGTGAGATAGAAGTTAAAGATAAAAGACAGAAAAGAAGATGGGAAGATAGTTTATCTGAAGTAAATCTCTGGAACTCTGAAATGGAAGCTAACTTGTGTGATTAAGAGTGGAGAGTGAGTGGGTTCTGTGTTGGAGAAAGATGTATAATATGGGGGTGGGGGTGTCCTGACTGAGAGGCCTGGTCTCATTATTTCTTGGAAGTTGGAATGAGAGTATGTGAGAAATTCAGTGAGTGAAAGCTGATTGTAACGACATTTCTATACTTTGAGCCAGTAAGAGTGATCTGATTTGTCTGAGCTTTGAATTGTCTTCAGCAGTTTTAGTTCTTCCTTTTGGATGAGAAAGGGTCCTTGTTGAAATGTGAACCTTCACCAACCTTACTTTTTCTTCCTGCTACTCCCACGTTTTCTCTATTCCTGGTGTCTCCAGATTCTACAGGTTAGCAGGCCTTTACTTATTAAGCAGTTAATTAAACACAAGGTCGGGATCATTTGCCACAACCATGACCATACTTTCCCTCTCTCTCTCTCTTTTTTTTTTTTCCCAGAAACCTGGTTTCTCTTAGTATCTAATGCAGTTTTGTTAGATAAAGTTAATTGTAGCCAAAGGTTGTGGTCCAATCACAGTTACTTTTATGGGACTGTTTTCAGAGTAGGATGTTTCTCTTCACATGAGAGTACTCTGGTGAGTTACCTCAGAACAGTTGGAGTCCTGTCCCCACACATATGGGCTGTGGGTGGATGTGGTTTCTGTGATCCATACTTTTTTCCCAAGGAGAACGGTTTCCCACTTTCCTGTGGGGGTAGATTTTTTCACTCTGATCTGAAAAGCAGCCCTTCAATCCCACTCAAGTGATGAGGCATGGGGGTTTCCTGACCTAAAGCTAACGTCTTACTCTCTCTTCCCCTTGGTTCTTTCCTGCCCTTCCTTCCCAACCTCTCCTCATACTGTCAGTGAGGAGAAGGAGGAAGTGAACATGGACACAACTGAAAACAGACCTGAAAATGAGGTTCCAGAGCCCCCCATGCCTGTCGCAGACCAAGTCAGCAATGATGACCGCCCTGAGGGCAGTGTGGAAGATGAGGAGAAGAAAGAGGTAAATAGCCAAGTCACCTATTGGGGTGGGTGGGCCAGGGTGGGTCTAGGGGAAAGAGTAGATCACTCTAGTGATCAATCTTACATAATAGGATAAGTTAAAGAAGGGAGTAGGTAGGGACTTGAATCAGAAGTAGGCCAAGGGAGAATTCGCTGGTTTAACAAGGGAAGACCCTTTGTGATGGGGACAGGGTTCATTTGTTCTGTTTTCCTTTTTGGGAGGAGTAGTATAGTCCAGACTCCTGGAATTTTGAAACGAATTGAAAAGTCACTTAATGGCCCTTTCTTTATCTAAGACCTAGGCTCAGCTTTTCCTGCTAGCTTCTCAAGCTTCTCAGGGTGGTAACTCCTAGTTTTCCCTCCTTTTTAAAAGCCTAATGGAGTTCAGCGCCATCTAGTGGGTTTTGGTGGTTCCCACCAGATTAGCCATGTTGAGGAATTTTTGTTCCTCATTTGCCCCCTAGTGGTCTCTCTGCAGAGATGTATTTATATAGAAGTCCAGATTTGGGATCATCCTGAAGGCCTCTTCTCCATATCTGTAATCCTTCTACCTCATTTTTGGCATATATATATGTATATATATATATATATTGTATCCTGCACCCAATCCAGGGGGTTCCCCCCATCAGAGCCAGCGAAGTCTTCTTGGCTCTTAGAGTAATAGAGAAAGAATTAGCTGGGTTTGGGAGCTGGGGGATGGGTGGGAGGGACTGTTGTGTGTGTAGCCTTTCTCTGGTGTGTGTTGCGGGGGCGGGGGCCGGTGAAAGTGATTTGATGTGCAGAATATTATTTATTACAAGGTCCTTCTTCCCCGTAAAACTTTGTCCAAGTACCTCATGTACGATAATCCGCCCGTAAAATATAACCCTGCCCAACTGGCCAATCGCTGATGCCGCCTCTTCCTCTGGACCCACCCGCTGCTACTGAGCTGCCCAATCAGAGCCGAGTCTGCTATCCAGGTGTCTTGGCCAGAGGGGGGCACGTATATGGGCTCCTGTGATGGGCCCCCTTTTGCCTCCCTGTCTTGCTTACATCAGGGGGCCAAGAAGAGCACTGTTCTGGAAAGACTTGTATTAAGAACGCAAAAAGCACTTGGAATGGGGTGGACTTGGCATCTTCTCCCTACTTGGGGCACCCCAAGAAGAGCTTGTATCAGTGCTGGGGCGCCTGCCCACATGCCCTTGCCCTTCTGAGGACTGTGGGTTGCCTTGCTGCGGACTGTTGAGATCCCTATCAAGGGCACCAAGACCTAAAGAGTCAATGTTGTGATCACAGTGCCATGCTGTAAAATACCGAGTGGGGCCCTTGACTTAAGCTGTGATGACTAGGAAACCTGCAGAACCGTCTAGGGTCTGAGCCCCGTGGATTTAATGCTGATGACAGCACAGCTCGTGTATCGTCACTTGCTCATCAGATGGACTTTCCTTTGGTCCCTGTTGCATCTGGTGAAGGGCCACATGTTGGTTGCTCCAACTTCTCTTTGGTCCCTGGGGGCAGGGGCTCATCCTTCCACCTGACTGGAGCCACTGTCTCAGCTGGAGTCCGTAAAGAAATGCCACATAAAACTCTCAGAAGAAAAGTATTTCCACCTTGCTGCTGATGTGTGCCAGGTCCTGGGAATACCCATCTACTACTCCCAGGCTACCGTCATCAGAGGCTCCATGATCCCACTCGGTGAGAAGACCTCCTACCCAGGCAGAGGAAAAAGGGACTCTGGAGTCATCACTTGGATTCCAAGTATTGGGTGGTGGTATTGCTGCAGTTTGCCGCTGCATGTGGACATGTGGTCCTGCCTGCTTGTCACGATAAAAGGCAAGGATCATTCCTGCTACTCACAAGCCGTCTCATCAGGGACTGCAAGGTGATGCCCCTCCAGGGCCAGGACTGATGTCTCTTCCCCTTCCCCCCTGTCTCCCTGGCTGAGCCTAGCCACCACCAGTGAACTGTCTTGACATTATGGAAACTGGGCAGCGTAACCCCCACACGTTTCCCTCCCGCCCCCCCTGCGCCCCTGGGAGGACTCTGGCAATGCCGTGCTGACCACCACGCCGTGCGCCCACCTTTTTTGCCAACCCAACCCCCCACCAATTGCACAGCGCCTAGCAGGGAGGGCTCATTCTGATTGGACCGTCGGTTGACTAGATACAGTACACAGTGAGGTGCGATTGGCTGAACTGAAGATCCCAGGTGTGAGATGGTACCTGGAACATTTGTCATATTCCTAGTTTATTTTCTTCTTTATTTTCTTTCTCTTGTTTTCCTTTTATTTTATTTTTTTTCCTTTTGTATATTTTAATTTTTTTCTCTTTATCTTTATTTTCCTGATTTATTTATTGGGTTTATTTATTATTTGGTTCATGTTTTTCCTGTTTAAGTTAAGATTTTTTTTTTTTTCTTCTCTCACTAACTTAACCCATCAAGAGCGGCCCAGCTAGGGGTCAGGCTGGCCCTTAACGGAGACCAAGGAGACTTGGTTTGACGACACAAACGGGGCTGGGGGTGGATGGGAAGAATGGATTTCATCAAGAGCATCCTAGCCTACCCTTTAAAAGGGTAGGGTAGTAAGATGGTCTTAGTTTTCCCAGAAATAAGCACTTAAATCTAAAAGTTTTTTTCATCTCCCTTTTCTCTCTCTCTCCCACTTTTTGCTCTTGTCTATAGTCTATCTCCCACTGAAGGTTTGGGAAAGGGACTTGCTCCCCAGACTGCCTTCTGATCCTTGGCAGGACCCCTAAGGCATGATCCCTGAGTGGAGAGGAAACAAGAGGTTCTGCTAGAGCCACATAAGGTGGTTGGAAGGTTTGCGAATCTTCCTGGGGACAGTCAGCCCTTAATAAAAACCTGTATTAAAAACACATTGAAATTCTTTCTGCTAGTACTTGGCTCATGAGCCTCATCTCCAATGAGTCTGGTGCTGCCATTTTCCAGTGTGGTGGACATCCGGGCAGTCTTGAAAAATAGCTGCCCAAGTGACTCAGTGTCACTGTTGGTGGAAATCCTGATGGGCATAGAGAAGAGGAGGACTCCCTTGTTGAAGTTGCCATTCCAAAGTTGATTTTCCTCAAGGGAGGGACCCAGGAAGACTAGATTACCCAATTCGAGACACAGCTTATTGGACTTGGTAGCCCCCAACCCATAGAGACAGTAGAAGAGGGCATAAGCAACATTTTGGAAGGGCTGAGAGGCTACCTTTTCTTGTGTCAGCTTATTTCTGGTTAAGCTAATACGCAAGTGTGGTATGGACTAGATGATTTTTCCCTGCTGTGATGTTTTATTTTTTTCTCTAACTTGCATTGATTCCGCTTCGTTTTTGCCGTTTGCCGCTTCTGTTTTGGTCTCTGTCTGTCTCTGTGTCTCTCTCTCTATGTCTTTGGAGCATATGCTAAGACTGCCCCATCTAACCTCTTCCCCCCCTCTCTGTGGGGTATGTCTCTTTCTCTTTTCTCCCCTTTTCTCTTCTATGCAGAGTTTGCTGCCCAAATCATTCAAGAGGAAGATCTCCGTTGTCTGTAAGTCTACCCCGAATTCTTGGTAAAGATCAGGGAATGCCATAAAAATCAGAGTTCTTAAGAAAATAGATTCCCGTTTTCTTCCCGTGCCTTTCTGGAGTCCACCTCTACCATCCTGCCCCCTCCCCCATAGAATCTACATCTTCTTGATATAGGCAGGGTTCCATTTTGAGATTCCAAACTTTAAATAATCCATGTCCTGTATCCTCAGTTAGGTTCCTTTCCCATCACTAATGAGATACACAGTGAATAGTTTCACACTATTGTTTATCTGTCCTAGATGCATTTATCCTTTTAGATATCCAAACACTTAGAGAATCAAGAGCTGGTTTGAGGTACTCCTTTATAATCGTGGGGATTTCTACAGTTTACACTTTATTATGTGTTGTTGCTGTTGTGAAGTGCCGTTGAGTCCGTTCCGACCTATAGCTACCCTGTATCGGATTTCTGAGGAGCCTCTGGTGAGCTTGAACCGCCAACCTTGCAGTTCTGGTGCATTAGCCCAACAGCGCCTCACCAGCACTCCACTTTGTTACATAAGAGCATCCAAATAGTAGTTTTTTAAACATGTTCCTAATGGAAAACTAATTTTAGGTTGTTGTGAAGTGCCATCGAGTCAGTTCTGATCCATAGCGACCCTGTATAGGGTTTCTGAGGAGCAGCTGGTGAACTTGAACCACAAACCTTGCAGTTTAAACGGCTTTGCAGTCTGGCACATTAACCCACAGCGCCACACCAGGATACCACACACTTAGATGTATAAGAGAACATTGTTAACTTAAATCATAGTTTATGAAAATGACCCTAAAGGGTGACCACATCACAATCATCTTTAGTTAATATTACTTAAGATTTATTTTGGTAATTCTATAGTCATCTTGGAGTCCTGGTGTGGCATTGTGTGTTAGTGCGCCAGACTGCAAAGCCGTTTAAGGTGTGCAGTTCAAACTCGCCAGCTGCTCCTCGGAAAACCCTATACAGGGTCACTATGGGTCGGAACCGACACGACGACACGGGCACTTAACAACAACAGCATAGTCATGTTATTTCTTCTGATTTTCTATGTCCTCTTCAGTCTTTCCTGCTACTTCAGATATGCCTGCCTACCACTGGAAATGTAAACTGCTTACCAAACTAGTCTCACCCATCCCTGTTGTCTTGATGAGTCGCTTCCATCTCTCAGGAAATGCCTTTGGTCCTTTTATTGTTTATTCTGAAGCCATGGTTTTCCCAGTCCCCAACCATAATTTCCTTATGTTAACCTTTTACTAAAACCACCCGAAGAGTGCCTAGTGGGTGTTGTGGTGTGAACCAGCAGTGGGCCTGAGGCCATCTAACTGTTGGGTCCTATTTCTTGGGGACAGCAGCTACCAAGGGGGTACCAGCTGGAAACAGTGACACAGAGGGGTGCCAGCCTGGTCGGAAACGACGTTGGGGAGCCAGCACAGCCACCACACAGAAGAAACCCTCCATCAGTATCACCACTGAATCACTCAAGGTGAGGTGGGAGGAGCCGGGGAAGGGAGGAGGAGACAAGTTAAGGTGGGAGTAGACATGGGCCCAGTGTAACGGGGTGGGGGGTATCTGTGTCCCAGAGCCTCATCCCCGACATCAAACCCCTGGCGGGGCAGGAGGCTGTTGTGGATCTTCATGCTGATGACTCCCGCATCTCTGAGGATGAGACCGAGCGCAATGGTGATGATGCGACCCATGACAAAGGGCTGAAGATATGCCGAACAGTCACTCAGGTAAGGTTTCTGTATTCCATAAAAGAAGGGATCAGTGATCACGAATCAGGCATTTGAGAAGCTAAGATAAATTTAAGGGAAATCTCCCATCTGTCCAAAAAGTTTGGTTAATTAGCGCTTTGATTCTGCTGCCTCTCATGATAGCCTCACCGAGTTAATTTCCTCTTGTTTACGGCTGCATTTGCTCTGTAACTCATAATTGAGTAGTTGTAACCAAGACTGTATGACTCATAAAACTTAAAATATTTGTCTTGGTCTTTACAGAAAACATTTACCAACTCTTATTTTAGATTTCTTCATGGCAAAGTTGAAGCACTAACAATCCTAGTGTCTAGTTGAAAAGGACTTAATAATGCAACCTCTCCCCAGTGGAAGGGACATACATACTAGATCAATTCTCTGCTCTCTCTTCACTAGAAAATCAGAAGTCAAGAATATGCCAACTTGGTATTTAGTAGACCCCCCCTTATATTGTCTGATACCTTTACAGGTGGTACCTGCAGAAGGCCAGGAGAATGGGCAAAGGGAAGAAGAGGAAGAAGAGAAGGAACCTGAAGCAGAACCCCCTGTAATTCCCCAGGTTTCAGTAGAGGTGGCCTTGCCCCCACCTGTGGAACATGAAGTAAAGAAAGGTAGGTGAACACATCATGCAGTTCCGTGAATTCCTAGAGCAATTTATTTCAGTCTCCTTTAAGTCATTTAAGATTTTCTGCTTTTTTTCATAGTATTTTATGGATCTAGTTTATCTCCCCTTCCTATAGAGGTTTTTTGGGGCTAGGTTTGAATCTGTTTAATCTTTGAATCAACACAGCGAGATTAGCTTTGCATAGTAACTTGGCACGTGGACCTTTATTTCCTATCCGTCAATCCAAAGATTGACGGATAGGAAATAAAAGGAAACAATTAGAGGTGACAGCCAAAGCATTGCTCCATACTAAAAGCCATTTATTTGTGTATTTTGATAGTGACTTTAGGAGATACCTTAACTCGACGTTCCATTAGCCAGCAAAAGTCTGGAGTCTCCATTACCATTGATGACCCTGTCAGAACTGCTCAGGTGCCCTCCCCACCCCGGGGCAAGATCAGTAATATAGTCCACATCTCCAATTTGGTAAGTCTTGGTTTCCCACATTCCATCTTTGTTTAGTGATTCAAGAGTTTGAGCTTCCTCGGTTCATTTCCTAGACCTGCCAAGTTACTCACCCACTGACCCTCTGCAAATTATTTAATCTCTTAATGTGTCTCATTGGAAAAATGAGAATAACAAAGTACCACTTTCAGGGTTGTTCTGAGGGATTTGATGTAGCAATCTATGTAAAAGCGTTTAGCAAAAGGCCCAGCACATCATGTCTCAATAAATGCTATCACATTTCTCCTGTTCCTACAAGAAGATTCCTAACCTCTGCTCTCACCTTCATCCTTCAACCCCATGAGCAGATTGGGAAATTTTAAGACCAGCTAGGTAGCGTAGTGGTTACAAATCAGGCTGCTAACCTCAAGGTCGGCAGTTCAAAACTACCAGCTGTTCCACAGGAGAAAGATGAGGCTTTCTACTCCCATGAAGATTTGCAGCGTTGGAAACCATGTGCAGGGTCGCTATGAGTCGGAACTGACTCCACCGTACTTAACAACAACATGTATTGGAGTTCTGGTGTGTTGCTGTGGGTTAATGCGCTAGACTGCAAAGCCGTTTGAACTGCAAGGTCGGCGGTTCAAGCTCACAAGCTGCTCCTCGGAAACCATATACAGGGTCACTTTGGGTCAGAATCGACTTAACAACAACATGTGTGTTCTCTTGCCTTTAAGTCCCTAAAATCCCATTTTCATTGGCAGGTTCGTCCCTTCACGTTAGGCCAACTGAAGGAGTTGTTAGGAAGGACAGGAACCCTGGTGGAAGAGGCCTTCTGGATTGATAAGATTAAATCTCACTGCTTTGTAACGGTGAGAAAAATCTGATTCTGTAGGTTGTGGTATATATTGCTTTTTGTTATCAATGTGGACAAATAAAAGGACATTTTGTTAAGTGGGAGGGGTTGGAGCCATGTTGTGACCCTCTGCAATCTCCCTTCCTTCACCAGTACTCAACAGTAGAAGAAGCTGTTGCCACCCGCACAGCTCTGCATGGAGTCAAATGGCCCCAGTCCAATCCCAAATTCCTTTGTGCTGACTATGCTGAGCAAGATGAGGTAAGAAACCTAGGAAAGGAATGAGGGAGGGGCAGGGGAGGCCATTCTGCTAAATTCCTGCTGAGATATTTGGCACATGCCAACATGTAAGTCACTGAAAGAGAACATATTCTACCCTCTTCCCTCCGTTTTGGTTCCTTTGGTTAAGCCATGGGACTGTAAGTCTCTGTACCCCTGATACCTGGGTTCTTTCTGTGGGAGTGATGTCATCTCTATACCGACTACCCTTGTCCCTCCTTTACCCACAGCTTGACTATCACCGGGGCCTCTTGGTGGACCGTCCCTCTGAAACTAAGGCAGAGGAGCAGGGGGTCCCACGGCCCCTGCACCCCCCACCCCCACCCCCAGCCCAACCACCACAGCATCCCCGGGCAGAGCAACGAGAGCAGGAGCGGGCGGTGCGGGAACAATGGGCAGAGCGGGAACGGGAAATGGAGCGGCGGGAGCGAACTCGATCCGAGCGTGAATGGGATCGTGACAAAGTTCGAGAAGGACCCCGTTCCCGATCACGGTCCCGTGACCGCCGCCGTAAGGAACGTGCAAAATCTAAAGAAAAGAAGAGTGAGAAGAAAGGTAATTAGCTGTGTAGCCCCACTAGCAGGTGGGAATGGGACCCCCAATGGGATGGAACATAGAACATTCACTTTAAATCTGGTTTGATTTCTTCCACCCCAGAGAAAACCCAGGAGGAACCACCCGCCAAGCTGCTAGATGACCTTTTCCGCAAAACCAAGGCAGCCCCTTGCATCTATTGGCTCCCGCTGACTGACAGCCAGGTAAGTACTGTCCTTTCTGACCTGCTCCAAATTGTAGAGGCTTGGGGTCAGTGCAGAGGGATGAAACTAAGCATAACAGAAATAGGCAGTTTTCAGAGATAGTGGGCCATATGGAAACCAGATATGAGACAGGAACTCTGAGGTGTGTGTGCCAGTCAAGCTATTTAGAGCTTGATTTTAGTTAGCTGAGAAATGTGTTTTATAAACTCACCATCCGTTTCTATGCTTTATGTATTTAGAGTTTTTACTTTTTAAATTTAGTTTCTTAAGGGATGAGCCTTTGGGGAACTTTAGGCTTCCGTACTGAACTAAAAAGAGATTTGTTCGCATCTATCATGGGTGGTACTTAACCAGAAAGGTGGGTGAGTGGAGATAGCTAGGGAAACACAAGTCTAAATACAGATGGTGCTAGCACCTTTTGTAAGTATAAAAGTTAAAAACTTGGAGGGAGTAGGATGCTCTGACATAGGGACAGGTACAATTGCTAGAAATACTCCCCTCTTCCTATTTTGTTTTTTCCTATGTGGAGACAGCAACAAAACTGACAGTGACCCTCAGTGAAGGGGTGTAGAGATCCAGATATAGATGGACAAGGCAGGACTGATGGGGGCAGAACTAAGATACCTGATCTCTGTCTCTCCTGCCTGGTTACAGATTATTCAGAAGGAGGCAGAGCGGGCTGAACGGGCCAAGGAGCGAGAGAAGCGTCGAAAGGAGCAAGAAGAAGAAGAGCAAAAGGAGCGGGAAAAGGAAGCCGAGCGGGAACGGAACCGACAGCTGGAGCGGGAGAAACGTCGAGAGCACAGTCGGGATAGAGAAAGAGAGAGGGATAGGGAAAGGGAACGAGACCGGGGGGATCGAGATAGAGAAAGGGACCGGGAACGAGGCAGGGAGAGAGATCGCCGAGACACCAAGCGCCACAGCAGGAGCCGGAGTCGTAGCACACCTGTGAGGGACCGGGGTGGGCGTCGTTAGCCAAGGAGGAAAAAAACAAAAAAAACGAGATAGAGCTGCAGGCCTCAGCCACCCTGCCCCAGGAGGGCTAAAAAGCCACAGAGGGATAGGTACAATCTCCACCATCCTGGAACCAAGGTCTTTCACACCATTTGCCCAGTGCTGAAGTATGGCTGCCACCTGTCCCCACATACCAAATGAAGCAGTGGCCACCACCCTCTCCATAACCTATCTTGGGATTTGGCTGTTTCCTATTAAGTCTTTGAGAGGAAAGAGCTAGTCTAGGGAGGGAGGTGATTGGCCCAGAGGTGGTGGCTTCAAGTCTTTTGCAGTTTTCCTTCATCTTGTTCATTACTTTCCTTGGGTACTCAACAGCCTCCTTTTGGGAACAGCCGGGGCCAGGACTGGGTCACCTATGAGCTGAATCAGCATCTCCTCCTGAGTCCCCGGGCCCCTGCAGTTCCCAGTCTCTTCTGCCCTGCAGCCCCTGCCTCTTAACCACCAAGCCCACTGGTTCCACTTTATAGCCACCTTTTCCTTTTGTTTGATTTTTATTTTTATTTTTTTTATTAAATGATGTGGTCTATGGAAAATAATAAAAAATCTGACTTAGTTTTAATTCGTGTGTGAGTGGTTTTCGTTGAACAAGACGTGGGTAAGCCAAATGAGAGGGTGGCCTTAGCTTGGAGGGCTTGCATTTCATACACGGAAGGTTGCTTCCTTCCATCTACCACTCAGGCCTTGGTTCTAATCCAGCTAAAGCTGTGGATTTTACTTATTGGAGGATGGAAAGGGGAGAGGAAAACTTCCAGAAGTAGCACCACTGTGGCTCTTCGCGACTGCACCCAGACTTGCTGGGAGGGCAAAGCTCTAATTATGAGGTCCGCATCCTGTGCGCGATTAAGACACCTGCTCTTTTCCGGGGTGCTTCCCACAACTGCCACCAGGGGGCGGTAGCCCCTCATCCAGTAGGCGCCTGTATAAGAGCTTCCCCAAAAGGCTCCACTCCCCACCTCTGTCCCCTCCTGCCAATAGCGCGTCCGTGTTGCTGGGCTGACCAACTCGAAGACTACCTGGACCCTTCTGCCTTCTCTAAGCACAACCCAACAGACCTACTATTGTGCCCTCCACGGATTTCCAAAACGCGACTGGCTTGTGACCGTGGTCCACAGCAGTCCCAAACGCAGGTCCCGGAGCGGGGCGCCGGCCCTCCCCACAGTGAGCAGCTCATTCTTGGACTAGCGATGTGCTCGCCCTTTGTCCCTTTCCGGAGTGTGCAGGTCGCTTCCCGTACCCTGGCGCACCTTCTCAGCCAGTGTTTTGGAAATGGCCCGGGCCTCCGAGTGCCCCAGCCTGGCGCTGCGGGCCCGGCCCGGGAGGGGCACTGCATCTGTATGCGTCCGGCAGCCCAGAAGCACTGAGGGGCGGGCGC